GCCCCCCTCTCCCCTCCCGCTCCTTCCTTCCTCCCCTCTCTCCCCACCCTATCGTGACATGCCCCAGACGCATTCTGGCCGCAAGCGTCGGCAGTGTAACTTGAAACTTTGGAATTTCTTTAAAAATAAAAAATTGCACTGGGCCGCATTATGAGCCAACCTGGGCCGGGTGCGGCCCACGGGCCGCAGGTTGAACAAGCCTGATTTAAAAGCTTAGAGTGTCAGAATATGCAGTTTTTGAATAGTCTGCAAAAATCCAGGTAATTCACTGTCTTGCTTCCAACATGTGCTAGACAGCTGGCATCTGAGAAACTAATGAGCAGGTCACTGGTCTTTCCCTCAGCAGATGGAAATCCCTCCCTACCACACCCCAAAGACATAGCTAGAGTGGAAGCTCTAGGTTTTTGAAGTCAATGATTGAAGAAAAAACCAAGAATCACCCTTCATGTCTACATAATCTCCAGTGTCGCTTGTTACATATGCAACATTCTTCACATGGACAGGTCTTGGTGGCTAGAATGTTATGTGAGTGTTTTAATTAAAAAACAAAATCCTGATTTACAACCTGATTTATGCAACAATATTTGGTGGCTTGGTCACTTATTACACCTTGTTGCAGTAATCTGAAGAGTTTCCCTGTAATATACAAATCATGGATCTTATAACTCCATGTCTCTAACCATCCCATAAATTGATGCATTTGTCCAACATGTAGAATTGGGGATGAAATGCAAATGGACGTAGAGGAGCACGAAGTGGGGAACTAGCGTTTTTCTTCTCCTTCACCACACCTTTGAAAGGAGGAAGGGATAGATCATGTTCCAAAACCAGGTATGATGTTCAAGAAACCTGCAGGTTTAAGGCAAAGAGTTCAGGCTATTTCATCTTATCCCACATGTCACAAAATATAAGTAACTGGAAGCTAAGCCTGATGCCTCAAGAGATGCCCTCCTGCAGTGAGCAACTGTGTCCTGCAGTGTCTCGGGGGTGAGCTTTTGTTTAAAAAAGGCTATTGTGTCTTTTTATTTATTTTAGAATTGCTTTGAAATCTATTTTTACGTACTAATAAATAATATTTGTTTAATTCTTTTAAAAATATTGTAATAATTTATTGTTTTTTACCTTTTCATATTGTTTCTTTTTTAATACTGTACGCTGCCTGGGGTCCTTTTCAGGAGAAAGACAGGAAATAAATATTCTAAAAGAATGAATTAACGAATTTGTTCATTGCTTTTTGATACCATCATAACCTGTCTGTCACTTTTGTTGTTTAGTTTTTTTAATATTGTCTGTTCTAAGATTGTAAAGCCCCCCTGGGCCAGGGATGGGGACTTGCAGCTTGAAACTCGCAGCACCTATGCTGTACCAGCGACTTGACTTGGACTCAACTTGCAATTTGGCCCATTTTTGGCCAAGTCTTTGAACAAACACTCACCTGAAGACAGGAGAGGAGAGGAGAGGCAAAGAGCAGACAAAGAGGTAGGAGTGGAGGGTGAGGCCTGGGGCTTTAATAGCAAGTTCTCTTTGTATTCCAACATGACGTATGCTATCAGGTAAATAGCATTCATTCTGTTGATACAGAGTCATGCTGAATAGCTGAGATGTTTCCACAATCGTGCTGGAAACCAAACCTTATGAGGAAAGGCTGAAAAAAATTGGGCATGTTTAGCCTTGAGAAAAGAAGGCTGAGAGGTGAAAGGATGTTGTTGTTTAGCTGTTAAGTTGTGTCCGACTCTTCGTGACCCCATGGACCAGAGCACACCAGGCCCTCCTGTCTTCCACTGCCTCCCGGAGCTGGGCCAAATTCATGTTGGTAGGATAGCACTTTTCAAATAATTGAAAGGCTGTCATACAGAGGAGGGGCAAGATCTGTTCTCAATCATCCCAGAGTGCAGGACATGCAACAATGGGCTCAAGTTAAAGGAAACCAGATTTCAGTTAGATACCAGGAAAAACTTCCTAACTGTTAGAGCAGTACGACAATGGAACCAGTGACCTCAGGAGTTGGTGAGGGCTCCAACACTGGAGGCATTAAAAAAAGACCTAGATAATCCTCTGGCTGATATGCTTTGATTTGGATTCCTGCCTTGAGCAGGGGGCTGGACTGGATGGCCTTGTTGGCCCCTTCCAACTTCACTTTTCTATGAAGCGTGTTAGGAAAATATTATGAAGGCTCCATAAAACATTTTGCTAGAGACCTGCAAAGTAGACCATCCACTCTGTTGTTTTGTTCTAGCAACAAACATTTATTTGTGTGCAATGGGGTGAGAGTGGGAAATTAAATCTGACTTTGGTTTGAATGCATGGGTATGTCTTGTGCTGTTAAAAAAAACACACGGTGTCTTTCAAGTCTTCCACTGACTTTGGACAGGATGAATGCCACAAACAGCATTCAAAATGTGGAAACCTTGCTGTTTTGACAACTAAGCTAGTCCTTGTGCTGACAATTTATACCAATACTGTATATGTTTTTATGGTTTGATATGGTTTATGGTTTCTTGCATTTTGTAGTTTGTTCGTTTAGTCGTTTAGTTGTGTCCGACTCTTCATGACCCCATGGACCAGAGCACGCCAGGCCCTCCTGTTTTCCACTGCCTCCCGGAGTTGGGTCAGATTCATGTTGGTTGCTTCTGTGACACTGTCCAACCATCTCATCCTCTGTCGTCCCCTTCTCCTCTTGCCTTCCCACTTTCCCAACATTAAGGTCTTTTCCAGGGAGTCTTCTCTTCTCATGAGATGGCTAAAGTATTGGAGCCTCAGCTTCAGGATCTGTCCTTCCAGTGAGCACTCTTGCTATTCATACTGTACAGATGTTAAAAAAAATTAGAAATGTAGAACCATTTTTTAAATATATGCAAGGGAAGGGATCCTTGGACTGTTTAGGAGCATAAAATCAAATTCATGAAATAAATAAATAAATAATTGACTCCAACCCTGAAAAGGCAAGGATGAATTAACACAGAAGTGGTTAATCCAACATAACAGACTATAAATTGTGAGTTTTACCATTCAGTTTGCTAGATATGAACTAAACCTGCTATTTTATTTCTTTTCCTATTAAAAATGTCATGCTAAAGCTGTTGCACCAACTGGGACTTGAGGCTTGTACCCAAAGACTTACCAACATCCCCCCTGCCTTGGGTCCATTGGAATAAACGGACACATAGAAATACAGTAATAAAATGGTGATTGTGATGATAATGAATATGATGATGAGAGGCCTAAACTGAGGACATTGTGTGGAAAAGGTCACACTCCTG